TATTTAACCCAGCATTTTTTAGAGTGTAAGAAGACGGACTTGTACAAGGCCTGGGTTATCGTCAACAAGACAAACAACTGTATTCTTAATGTGAATTCACTTGTATGGCTGGGTATGTAACCAAAATAAGTTTGCGGTCTTAGATTTTCATTATTTTCCATTCAGTGTCAGCAATTAAATCAAACAAAAATTAACTGCTTATTTGCTGAAATCATATAATCATACAGCTGTTGTTATATGTAGCCTAAAGCACAAATTAAACTAATGTGTTTCATACATTATACCATTTTGTGCAGATTAGGGTCATGCTGCAGCCATCCAGCTGCACTTATGTTTAAAGGTGAGTTCATAGAACATATAACAAGCAGGTATTAATTATATTTTTATAACCTGTCTTTTTTCATTAATTGCCAGTTTAGTTGCAATCTTGTACAAATAAACTTCTGAGGGTGTTAGCACGGGCTGTTCCAAGGTGTTTACACATTGGAACACCTGCAGAAATGTGTTTTGGCATCAACTTTCAAGGCTTCTTTTTCTTTCATTGCAGAATACCTCGGAGTTGTTATCCCTGAAGATTGTATATCTCTGAAAATTACATTATTTCTGAGTTTTGCTGATCTAAACTTTGTCTTTAACGTCTTTGATTATTCTGAAGCAGTGGAAGTAAATGAAGCCTTGAAAGTTGATGCAAAAACACATTTCTACTGGTGTCCCAATCTGAACAGCCTGTGTTAAAAGGACTCACCACCACACACACTTGCATTTGTGGTTTATGGGGACTCTCCATTAGGGATGTGCGGGTCTAGTCGACTAAACGGTACAGCTCCTACTAGTCGACATTGAAAACAATAGTCGATTACACGACAGAATTTTTTTTTAAAAACATGATTTTATCATTCAAATTACCATCATTTAACATTGCATTTAAAACATTTTAAATAAGTTAAAATAAAACGTTTGAAAAATAATACATTATTTTTAAAAGTTTATCTGGGAGTATATTATCTGTGGTAAATCTCCATCACGTGCGGGCTTTCACATTGAGCAGCATTAACTACACAGAGCCGTTGTTCACTGACGAGCTGCGCAAAACCACGTTCATATTCGTGCGATTTTTTTGCGTAGCTCGTCAGTGAACAACGGCTCTTTGTAGTTAATGCTGCTCGATGTGAAAGCCCGCACGTGATGGAGATTTACCGCTGATTACAGAACCGGCTTTCTGACAAGATGCGCATTAAATATCGCATGCGATTTATCGTGCAGCCCTATTTGTTGCTTAACCCTTTCCTGTGAAGCTCTGGTATTTATATGAGCCTCAGTTAAAACCTCACTGATGGCAGTAGCCGATTTATTTAATTCCTCAATTGACAATGTGCCCTCCACACTCTTGTCAATCTGAAAAAAATGTAGGACAATAGTTAAAAAAATTGCTACCCACTTATCATTAATTATAATTATTGAAATAATGTAACAATCTGCAGTTCCCCCGATAGTGCTCAGGTATTTCGGAAGGGTAACGGGCCTCTCTTCCAAACATTAAAAAGTATGGCGAGTACCAATGTGCCCTCCACACTCTTGTCAATCTGAAATAAAGTGTAGGACAATACTGTTACTTATCATTAATGAAAATTATTGAAATAATGTAACAATCTGCAGTTCCCCCGATAGTGCTCAGGTATTTCGGAAGGGTAACGGGCCTCTCTTCCAAACATTAAAAAGTATGGCGAGTACTTTGTTGTCATCTGCCGCTTTGTGCG